TATGGCAAAGTTGTTTCACTGATTCCTAAAAATGACGAGTCTTGAAAGCAAAGACCTAACTTTGTCTTTCACGAGTTCCCGGCTTCGTTCCTTTGTCATGTGGTGCAGCCTGATCTTGATGTACAGCTCCAATACTTGCTTGCTCAAGTTGTAAATATGGTTGTCCAACACGTCGACGTCAAAAAGATGTTGTTCCAATTGTGAAAACCACCTCTTTTCCAGTGATTGACTCAAAATCTCCAGGACTAGTTGTTTGGTATTGGCATGTATGTTCTTAAGGCATTGAGTGGAAGCCTGCAGTCGACGCAGCCCCTTTTCCGCTGTTTCGCACAGTGACACAACGTCTTCGGAAGGGTAAAAGAGAGTCCACCTCGATTTTTTTGTCTCACCAATAGAGATGTATCCGCTCCATGAAGAGCTTCTATGCACAACTCACAGGTGTTTGTAGTAGCGATTTTGCGAGCGACAAAGCCTGCAATGTAAGGCACGACAGAGCAAACGAATGTGGAGAGGCTCTCTGGATAGTCAATTCGGTCTGTGTAATCGTGGTCCTCTGGTTGTAGGATGGCACACCTTCGCGATGTGACCTCAGTGGTTGCACAAAATGTAGTGGCAGAGGCAGATGCACCCAGAATAGAAACAATATCTTGCGAACAGTTGCCTGAGGTGGACGATCTCACTTCTGTCTGGACCAATAGACGCTTGTAAGCTGCCATGAATTGGGCAGCTGTAGGGTTGTTGTTGAACCCCCCACGTCCTCGCACACAGCCAAAGAAAGTTTCTGCGTGATCTTGACTCATCTTGTGCGTGAGCAGATAGTTAAGTTGACCTTCATGAACGAGTTCCTTGAAGATACTTTCTGTGCTCTGTATACACACAAGAAAACCCACAAATCCTGTCCTCTTTGTTCCCTGCAAAAGTGGTCGACCGAATGGGTCTTTTAAAGCACATATGTACTCTCGAGCGTCGGCAAAAAATGGTTTCCAACAAGGCTCATTTTGCTTTCGAAGGGGGGCTTTGTATGATTTTGCAAACGCATTTCTGGAGTTTAGCAAATCGAAGAGATGATCAAATACCCTCACAAATTTTGCCGTGGCACTAGCACCTCTAAACTGTGGCAGCTTCAGCGTTTGCTCGCAAAATTCAAGAGCGTCTGCGACTGAAGCGCTGAGTGCCTGAACTGCGAGCCGTACCTTCATCTTTTGCTTCTCCCACTGCATATGCACCTTAGTTAGCTTATTGCCAAGGCGGAGCCCTTCCTCGCGCTGTAAAGCCTCCAGTGCCTTTATGTAAGCCCATTTTATGTGGTTTCCATCAACATCAGTGATGTAACACATTGTTGCCAGTGAATTTCTAATCAACTTAATCATGTGGCATGGGTCAAGCAGGATATGCACATCCCTTGACTCATCAACTGGGTTTTTAAAGGATGTGGAGAACTCGACAGGATCAGGCTTCAGTTCTGCACCAAGGCATTTTGCCATAGTGAAATTTGATGACGCACCATCAAATGTTAGACTGACAACTTGAACTTTCACAGATTCCAGTCGTTCAATGCATTGTTTTGTTAGTTCAGCCCTCTCAGAACCAGTGAGCGAGTGGATAAGAAAGTAGCCGACTGGAATTTTCAGCCTCATGTTTATGCCAACAACAATATAAACACAAACATTTGTGGCTTCAGGAAGGCTGTCATCATCAAGAGATGCTCCAAAATCAACGTAGCCAACTACCCTGTCTCCGACAAGTTCAACATGTTTCCTAATCGACATATCATCGACAATCAGAGCGCAGTAAAGAGTTTTAGAGCGACCTTGAACCAACTTCTCCAAGAAAGAAAATGCTTCACCTGTAAAGCCTGGTTGGCCATCAACAGACCTATACCATTCTCTGATTGTGCGCTGCGAAGGGAGGGCGTCATTAAACTTTGATCGCACAAATTCGTAGGCTGCTGGTGAGTAGAAATGTAAAGTTAGTGCAAACGTTCGCAGCTCTGGAGGGTATTTACCTCCACTTTCTGTCCGTGCCCGGTGAAGCAGCTGTTGTATGTCAGGAGAAAATGCTGCATCGAACATCTTGGAGCCCTCTTCTGACAAAAGCTTTTGTTCTTCGATGCCTCTAATAATTTCTTCAGCGGTGATTTTCTTTTGTGTCAGCCTTCGTTTGCTCTGCTGCAACGTTTTAATTTTTTTCTTCAAGTGCAATCTTTCGTCTTCTGTTTCCTGCAACTTCGTCTTGTACCACTGCTTTGATGGTGATACAGTGACATGATCTTCAGTATTTAAGGCCTCTTGCTGCTGAGCAGGACTGCATCCTCGAGGTTTTGGTGCTGGCCGCTTCCTTTTCACCTGAAATAAGCACATAGTGGAAATTAACTACTTTTAGAATGATATATATACTTCAATTATTGCTCATAACATGAATATATGTATTCACGAAAGCATGTTCGGGAACATTCGACAATGATCATGCGCTAATCGTATGTTGAGCAATATTGTAAACGAGCGAAAGGGACGAAAAGCTCGCGAGGAAACACGCAGCAATGCAGTCACGTCGACAAAACACGACAGAAGAGATATGTCTACGTCATTCCAACCTCCTTGATGTCAGAGCACTATATCTGCGAAGTTCCGATGCTTACCGGTGCCTGGAGGTGGGCAGGAAAAGCAGCGAACGAAGTCGGCACACTTCCCGCTTTCAACCTTGTTGTTTGTCCGGTCCGGTCAAAACACGCCGGATCAAAGTGCGCAGAGCAAAGGCGATCTTTATCTGTCGGTTTCCAGTGTTCACGACGCACAGCTCGCTCCCATAGGTTCCGTGTCTCAGCATCTTTTGGAAACCTGCCAATAATTTCCAAATATTAATTCCTTAAGCCTACCAATGAAAAACACGAGTCAGCCGTATTAGACCGCGTAAGCACTACGTGCTTTCAGTACGCACCTGTGAAATGTGATCTTGGAAGCAGGAATCGCGCGATTTGTGCACCCATACGCTACGCAGGATTGTACCATGCTCGCTTGAATCGAGCCGCACGCATTCGAATGCACTGCAGAGACACACTTGTCAAGGAAAGACAGGCGCACGAACCGCAATCCACCGTCGCTGCAGGTGAACTGGCAGCGCTGGCCGCCACCGAGCCAGCCGAGCCGAGCTTTCTGCCCACCACAACATGGCGGCGCTGGCTTCACTTGAAGAGCGCTCCCTCCACTCCAGCAATTTTTTTATATATATCCTCCTAGATTTAAATACATAATACAAGTATTTTGAATACAGGGGGCGCCATGGGCATTGCGGCTGCTAGAGTGCCTCGATGCATCAAGGCACCCTATGCGGCTGCGAAAGGTGAACACAGCGAGATGGTAGCCGCCTGCGATGTGTTGATGGTGAAAACTCCGATGAAATCGTGGCCATGGCCTAGGCTACTCCCAAGGAGTACTGGAGTGTCGTCGCTGCTTCATGTGATTGCTGGATGCTTAGTTGAACCTGGTGGTTGGAGCTAGCGGGGCCATCCACCGCGCCGCAGCTTCATCTGAGTGTGTGCGCCATATAGTTTCTCAGTATGATGTGCGGATTACAGTCGTTGGACGTACTGCATTTTCTAGACTGCAATGCCAAGCGTGGTGTTGTCAAAGGAGAAAGTGTTCTTGCTGCCGAGTTTTGCTTGTCGCGAAGGACAAGGTCGACGATGAAATAAATGCTTTCGTAGGGTTCACGTGTGACTGACCGGACGCACATGCATGAAACCCCAGTGCGTCGGCGAAGTGTTCATACGATGAATGAAAACAACTTTATTGTAATGTTCTTACGAAGCCTGTGATCTCCGAAGGCCAGAGCTACTGCATTGCTGTCTGTTTTGTCAAGTGCGAACACGTACGGCCGTTCTCCTCCGTTGCTACGTGAATGCTCCCGTGCTGTCACAGGCCGCGCGGGTTATTGAGCAAGGCAGACAAGCTGTTTTGTAGTTGGATGGGCTAACGCCGTCGGCACTTGCCCTTGGGCATTGTTTATCAAGTGCTGATCGCCTAGAGCATTGCGGTGACACGTCAGTATTTTTAAAGAAAGAGGCTTGCCGGTTACCTTGTTAGGTGATGGTACACTGAGCGACATAAAAAAAGTTGCCCGAGACTACGTTGCAGTGCACCTTTCTGTCATCAAAACTTTGATAAACCGTGGAAATCCACATTCCTGTGCCCAAGAAACCAATGCAGCCAGCTGCATTTGATTTTTTCGAGTTTTTTTTTTGCATCTCGCCGATTAAGAGCACTAATTTGCAAAACACTTTATCATAATAAATATAGTCAATCCTGCAAAAGTCATCGAAGATCCAATATTAAAGGGCTTGTGGACGGGACCACCACCACCAGCAGCAGAAGTCGGGCTGATGAGGAGGCGCAAATGTTAAAACATTACATGCGTGAACAAAAAAAAAGAAAAAGCATCGATAACTGCAAAGGGACTTAAGCCACCGACCTCACCAGTTCATGTGCTGCTTTAACCAACTACGCCACAGCTGCCGATATGCTCGTGATGACAAACAAGCCGGTTTTGTATTGTTGTCACGCTAAACCTGAATGACATTTTTGTTCAGTTTTTTGTATGAACGTAATTTTAATGGCTTTTATCGTTATGTCTAGACGTACCGCTAGACACTCCCGACTATTCAAACAAAGCGCCTAACCAGAAAATGCACACGTCACTTCCGTGCGGCGCAGCAGCCGTTTTTGTGTGGGAATTGCTTGTGCGCCGCGCGGCGCAGCAGTCTCTGCCAATAACACTTTTTACGTTTGAGAAGCTTATATGCAACAAACATACGGTAGAATAGTTTTTAAAAGGCGTAACCTAAATATAATTATCCCATGTAAATGCCACTGTTATAAATGACGGGCGTTTTGCGCTCATTCAGCAGGCAACCCCTTTATTACATGGCATAGCATGCAAATCAGCAAACGCCAAAATTGCCAATCTCAAAGGCCACGTACAAAGACCCTTATGTACGTAGCGCTGCCATAGATGACGGGCTTTTCGCGCTCATCCGGCAGGCAAGGGAAATCTAGGAGGCTATGGTGAGGGTGCCAGACTACGGGGATATAATTCTCTCTGTACGGGGCTGCAGTTTCGGTACGGCACGGGCGCGCCGTAAGTTTGACGGCAGCACTGGTAGGTGTTCTGTGACGGCATTCTCACGCAGTGAAGATTTGGAAGCTGAACGAAGGAACGAAACAACTGAAGCCACTAAGCTTTGCTTACTGGAACGAATTTGGACAAACCCGTTGTGGGTGACTACTGGCGGCGACCGGTCGTTGGGTGGATAAGCAGCGCAGAACATGGCAGCGCCCGAAGGGGAGTGCAGCACAAGCAGCAGCAGCGGGAACAGTGGCGTCGTAGTGACCGATGTACCGCCCAACGAAAGTGAGACACTGGAGGGTCGAGCTACGGCCATACAGGAGAAACTGGACAACACTTACCGCCAGATAATGCTCCTAGACGAGCGAATCCGCGACCTCAAACGCCTGTACAAGCGTGCCGAGAAGAACAACAAGTATGCTTTTCGCTACAACATCCGCATGAATGTGTCCATCGCATGCAGCATAAAGATGATGTACTACCACTACGCCAACACCAAAGTGGCTGAGCTGGAGCGCATCACCACACAATTGGAAGAGGCGCGTTCAACGGCCAGTGACACCTCGGATGGCGACAGAGTGTAGTTTTGGTGTGTGGCATGTTTTAAACGTTTCCATTATTGATGTCCCGTGTTGCTGAGCAGTGCTGCGCTGGCAAGTGTTGTGTAGACTTCCTGAACTGTAGTTGTTCGTGGGTGTCTTGTGCAGTGTCGATTTCTTTTTCTTTTTTACCGTTTCTGCAAGAGAGCCGAGCCCAGGAAACTTCTTCGGCAACGACGCCACCTGCCTGCTTAATACAACTGGTGACTTAAAGGTTAAGCGCACGTGTCGGTGTCTAGGCTGCGTCTACGCATGGTTTTCTCTCGAAGCCTGCTGTATCATGAGCTAGGACAGACCTCGTTATGAACGGCACTGTTTGTGCCACGAGAAGGAGAATCCAGACGAAGCTGTGTAAGCGATCCGAACACCACGCCATTGACCTAGGCATACCGAAGCAGTGTGGTAAAACAGTGACAAAAGTCCATCTGATTTTGTTTGTTTGTCTATTTTATCCTGGCGCAACCCACCACAGGGGATCGGCCATGAAACGAACGGTGCCTTGCTGTTTAAAAGGAAATGTTCCTAATTCCGAAGTTATAAATGTTTAATGAATATGCTTGATTTTAGAATTTTTTCAATTATTTTGTCTCCAGAAGGAAATCGCAAGCGCCCTTGTGACTAAAACCCAGCGCGGTAGCCCCAAAGAAAAGAAGAACCGGGAGGGATAAAGTTAATCTCAACCTTCGAAACGGTTCGTCTAGAAGTCTTCCTCTGATTGGTGAATAATCTGCACATTAGAAAAAAATTATCAAGAGATTCACACTCATTGCAATGGAGACATAAAGGTGACTGTACCAGACCAGGCCTGTGTAGGTAAAAATTCAGTGGGGGGACTCGGCATTGTATTTTGATAACTGCAATCTCTGTCCTCGCAGCAGGGGAGTTTATGACAGGCGCCAACAGTTATATATACGAGGCATGATGTAAATGATGCTAAGCAGACACTACCTACCAAAGCTTCTTTACTGTAGTCAATCGGCAAAGAGCCTCATCACATTGCTTCGGCTCTCATTTGTTATTCGGAGACATCCCAATGTGCAATGTCAACCTTTGTGTTATTGGCATTTGCTCTTTCAAACGGCCGGCTCGTTATGCTGCAACTTGTTACGCTCGTTATGCAGCGTGCTGGCGGCGGGGTAGTCATTTTTTTTTCTTTTTCTCTCTCGCTCTCGAGCGCAGTTCGTTTGCTTCGTTCGCAGCGTGCGCTGGGGACTATCTGCTCGGTTCACGGCGGGCGTGCAGCGTGCGTTATCTCTTTTGCTTGTTGCCCGAGGGTCAATATGACGATGCACGAGCCTTTTGAACGGCAGAATGTGATCGAGAAGTACCTCCAAGGGTTATATCATCATGAAGACGGCTACCTGAAGTCAGACGATGAGCTTGAGCTTTTCGAGAGTTCACTGGCTGCCGTCAACGAGAGGTATGCTGTGCGGACATCAAGAGACTTTATCAAGTCGTCTGAATGCAAGGATATATCGATTGCTTCTTTTTTTTTAATTCGAAAGGCTGTTTTTTGGAATATCAAGCATAGATAAGAATGTCACAAGTTCATTACGCATAAATTTGCTCATACATGAAGTTCAAGGATCGGTGGAAAGGTCCTCTTATCTGCTCTTGTAAGTCCGGAGGGCGACCGGGACGGTGACCCGTTGCTTCTTAATGTATCGCTATGCACTTCGACTCAGCATTCAAAAGCGCAGTAGTAATTTCAACCCGCCATACAAATGTTTACTTAGGGTTGGTGCAACAATAGAGTTGAGGTTAGTGCAACAATTTGGCCTTTTGGAAGATAGGGTTATCGTTATTCTGGTTACGGTTCAGAGTTTTCCTGGCACCTATTTATTTAGGGTTGAGTGCAGGGTTGTTCAGGGTGCAGGTCAATGACCCGAAATTCAAAAATGATGATAAACGTAATTGGAACTTAACTAATGAGTCTATCCATGGGATGTTTACACAAATGCTTTGAATTCTGCGAAGCATGGTCGTTTGTTTTGTATAAGCACCTGTGAATTTTTTTCTTTGCACATTGAAATAGCAATCCTGCGCAACACGGCACACTCTCTGCAGTTGGGCTCAACTTCATGTCGGGCCATGGCCGTGTGTGCCATTGGTCGTCTTGCTTGAAGTGTGAATTAGGCGTCGAGAGCGATGCATAGGCCTGGTGACTATGTATATGAGATGCTGATGTACATGTCACCGGCAAGCTTTTTGTTGTATTATGAAGTTCCAAGGCCCAGCCAAACTGTAGCATGTTGATGCTGTTTACAAGATGTTCCATCATAAAACCACGCAAAAAAGTTAGCGTGATTTGTATATATAATGATCAGCCCAGTTGTCGCGTCTCCGCAGGATTCTCAACACATGCGCATGCCAACAATGACTTAAACTCAGATGGGGGCTCTGGCCTGCTTCTTGCCAGACACTCTTCCGGTTAGCCTTCCCTTCTAGTCCCAAACGGGGGCGACCTTGAGGGCTCCGCTCGTGAACCATGTGATTGAAGGAGTCTCCTTTATTTCCCGTGCGCAGGTCTCCGGTGTTCGACATTGTGCAACCGATCGGCTTCGTTAGTTGATGAGTCGGGATCTGGCTCCACGCTTTGCATCAGCCACATTAATTGCGCTACACACAACACGCCGCTAATGGTTACCTCATACTAACTGCTCCTATGACCATTCGCATGCTGATACCTTCCTCACTGTTTAAAAAAACCTTGGCGAGTTTCCTGGAATTAACCAAACCATGCAAGCTCACTTAGCCAGCAGAATGAAGAATTCGAAAGTTGGTGTGGATGGAAACTTGCCCTTTGAATTAAAAAAAAAATCTGTCTTCCGTAAGTGCGCCACAGTTAACGTGGCAGCAACTTGTCTTAATGGTATTTGTTTAAGAATACTGCTGTCTCAGTTTTCGAGATATTGCAGGTGTAAATACAAATGTTTGGCACCTTTATAATGATGCACATCAACAAAATACACGTTTACGCAATTCTTTCTTCGATTTGCTCAGCATCGAGTCTGCGCAGACACCGTGTGATCAAGCTCACTCCGAAAATGCGCGTTCTGAAAAGCAAAAGAAAATGGAAAGAAATCTGAATTGATCTAACTGGCACGATATTTAGAGAATCAAACTACCGGATACGGTGTGAAGAAGATGCAACGAAGGGTATGGGTGCTAGAACACTTGAAGTAGTGTGCCATATCCTGGCACGGTTTTAAGAGCGCCGATGTTCGAGAGGGGCTGCAGTGATAAAACATGCGCGTGCGAAGTAGGCAAGCAACGCTGGTCATAGCGATGAAATGCAAGCAGTATTGCTTAAAAAAACAGATTCTATCATAGGTATGTCACGTTTGTGGTGAGGGAACCAAACAGCCAACGGGTATTCCTGTCTGACCAAAATCTTATGTGCTGTCAGCCAGCATTTTTCTTTTTTTTTTGTGTCGCTTAACATGCTTTGGAGACACCATAGTTATCGAAGTGCTTGTTGCAGATTGTTTCAGCGAGTGTGTTCCATTATAAATTTGTTGTAAGAGTTACGTCAGTCTACTTAAACTACATAACACCTACTGCGCTTACACCGTCATCATTATATGTAAAGTCAAAAGTCTGTTTTCTATTTGAAAAGATCGTCAATGCAGTCTTTCAGATGTTTGTAATGTTTCACTCCTGCTTCATACAAGCAAAAAAAAAAAACTATGCAGTGCATCCTGGCCTTCAGTATTAGAGATAGTTCAACAATGACGCATTCGCCGGCATGTATACATTCTAAGTTTAATTTGAGTATCACCGATAATTTCTTCTCAGTCGTTTATATAACTAGTAATAACCAAAACAGACTAAATAAAAAGCCTTGAGGCCCCTTCCTGATGTGATATTATGTCAGACGACTTCGCCTGATTTAATGCGACAAATTGTGAGCGCGATAGCAAGTAATCTCCTCTGATAAACTAGCTTGTTGTTGCCAAAACAATTTGTGAAAGAGCTAGAAGTTCTGCATGGCAAACCATGTCAAAAAACTTCCAATAGTCAATAAATATGACATCAACCTATATTTAGTCGTTAAGGAAAGAAGCAATGTCGTGCGTAAACTGAAGAAACTGTGTAACAGTAGAATAGTCGGCACGAAAGCCGTGCTGTGATCATGAGAAAGTATGTTGAGAGCATTTAGGTATTTAATATGCACTTGTGAATGATATGCCTCAAAAGTATGGTGCTGGCAGAAAGCAAAAGTATTGACCATAATTTGGTATTATTTGCTTATTCTGGACTTGAATGGGGGCACGACATTTCTTAATTTCCAGAGCTGGGGAACTACTGCAGAGATTATTGATTGTTTAGAATATTACAATAAGGTAGTCAGAATACCATTCTGAATTGCACTTTAAAAACATATTTGGAAACATATTTGGGCCAGATTGTTTTGACACCTCAACATTTAGTACAAGCTTATCTACTCCAGAGAAGCTCAATTCATGATTACAAAGAGCAGGTAGGTTGCTACATGAGTAAAATGAATTGATGCCGTTATGTGTAGAGAAAGACAGATTTGAAGTAATTATTAAAGGCATTTCATATACGTAGCATTGTGATTTGAGGATTGGTGATCAAGAAGAAATGATGAGACTATAGATGATGCAGGACTATTCAACCACTAGAACCCGAATCAATTTTGTCATAAATTTAGTGAACGCACTGCTAAAGTAGCGCTTCTTGGCCTCTTTAATTTAGCTTCTAAATGAGTTTCTAATTCATTAAATAATAGGCTTTATCAATACTGTTTGAATGGCAATTCTTACATAAGTGCTTTATTAGACGCTTGAGATGAATTATATTTTTATGGCACTATGGATATTTTGAGTTTCATTTAATATATTTTCGAGGTGCACAGTGTGATTGGCATTCACGCACAATGTTACAAAACTTAATATGAAGCACATCTACATTGCAAAATTTGCTAAAACATTCAAATTTCTCAAAAGATGAGGCTAAAGTACCCAGTACGGAATACTCATCAACTTTAGGAAAGATCGAAGCAGTTTTCATTTTGGATCTTTAAAGAGAACACGCTAAGTCTGAGGCGACTTCAACAGTTTTATGTCCAGAAAACCCTTCAACGACTTTGCATTTTACATTGTGCGATAGGAGCACGCAGCCCCATAGCGAACTCGGGATGCAGCTCTTTCTATCTGATCTCGCTAAACTACAAAACGCTGGTGTTTGAGGATATGGCCGCTGTCGGGAAAAGAGCAGTGTTTGTGCAGTGATATCATATCGCGCAGAAGAGTACATGAGCCTCCGACCTGTGTATTTCTTCATCCTCTTTCGTCTTGCAAAAGATTGACAGGGCTTACTTTCCGGTTGAGCAGCAATCGATGACGGGCATCGCGCACGGAGTGATGCTATCGCATGGGTTGTTCGTGCCGTGAATATGGGTAACTTGTTTCATCTATGTGCTTCAGGAGTGTTCCTCACTGGCAATCGCGAGATTTCATGCAGGTTTAGCATGCAGTGTGGGGACAAAAGTTATCGATTTGTTCTTTGCACGGAACAAGACAGTGA